AGTCATCAGCCGACATTTGAAGCCGAAAAAAAAAAAAAAAAGGTAAAAAAAGAAAAAAAGCCGCGTCGCCGCACCACTTTTGGGGCAAGCTCCATACCAGAAACTGGAGACTTTTTTGTGGACCTAATACGGGGTAATTAAGGTACATTTGATTGCTGGCAGAATTATTATGAAGCGTGATCTCGTAAGACGAGTAGGGCTGGTACGGACGAGGCCGCCAGCTGTAAACAGCTGGCCTTTTGCTCATGAAGTTCGCACACGTACACAAAAAGTTTATATTAACAGGTCCTCTTCCCCGTTTTACGACTTGAACGCATGTGACCGAAAGAAAAGGCGAGAAGGTCAAAGCATACACGTAAACATTCACTTTGAAAATGTTATGCACTGCTATAGCGTGGAAGAGTCCCAGACGGCAAACTTTGTGCTCTCTCAGGCGTCGGTAAGTGTGAATAAAAAAAAATAAAATCGGCGCACGTTGAATAGCACGTGGAAGCTCAGCTTAGGGCCTATTGGGAAATGAAAGTTTCGGATACATTTAGAGACAGTATCGTCTTGAGGTCTCCAGAGGCGCGCGAAATCCACCAGAATGTATTGCAAATTAAATGCGTTACTCATGTAAAATTAGAATATATCGGCCGTAGGCGCTGGATGGCATAAACAGTTAATAAGGATTTACTTAACATGGCCGCTGCAAAAAAAAAAAAAAAAAACAGAAAAGAAAAGAAGAAGAAAAAAACCTATTGTTTATTGATAAGAAATAAATCGATATCTTAGAAATCGATTGCATTGATCCCGGCTATTTTAAACCGGTTGTTATAAGATTTATATGTATGAAAGCGATGCCTAGTGCCGAACCTAGGTACGACGGCTAGGATACAAAACGTTGAACAGAGGTAGAAAATGGCAAAATCAAGCGCATGTACGCACTTACCGGTATTGTGACTTATTTGTGCGGATGTTATAGGTGATGTGTTTGCGTGCGCGTTGTGTTTCCGCTAAAGAGTTGATTTTCTCGTTATTCTTTGATAAAACCGAAGTTTAGGTGGATCAGATAAATGATCCATACCAGTCGAAATGATATGTTGCGTAGGGGATCTACCCGGTATTCCCCAATACCGATGTTCCCCACTACCGATGTTCCCCCAAATCCTTAGGATTAGGGTTAGAGTTAGGGTTAAGGTTAGGGTTAGGGCTAGTGTTAGGGTTAGGGTATATTGGTAGGGATTTCGGGGAACATCGGTATTGGGGAACATAGGTATGCACCCGTTGCGTAGTTTTTATTATGGGGCACAACATGGTCGGTTTGTACTGCTGCGTTGCATGGTTGTTAAATTCGGTTTTCGGAGAAGTGACAATCAGAATCGACTTCGTTTTTCAGGCACGTTACAATATTCTATGTACGGTCTAATATAGAAAGCCTTTGTTATATATTGGCGATAGTCTAGAACAGGCTCTGCAAGCAGCCCAGCCGCATTGCCAGATGATGCTTGGGTGAGGTTTGGGTGAGGAATGGGTGGTGTTGGGGGCGAAGTATCAGAGAAAGGGAGAGGTTTCGTCGTCTTAGTTTGGAGGGACGAATCTTTCCACCCCATACCTAAGACTAAACCAATTGACTCTGGAGCCCGAACAAAGCAGCGGTGCAAATAGGTTACTATCCATTGTGGTGTGCAGTAAAAAAAATTGCAGAATAGCCTCCTTCACGAGTTATTTATTAATAAATATCACCCTTTTTTCCGGCTTCCATTGGTCGATAACGAGACCCACGCGAAGTCACGCTGAGTGACGCTAATGAATATACTAATATGCGCTTCGTCACTGTTTCCCCCAAATCAGCCAACCTGAAACCATGCACGTGAGTTAATTTGGTCGGCAAAAAATCCTCGTCGAAATTGGCCTTTGAGATATTTCAAGGTGTAACACAAGCGTTTGCAACAACAGATCCAGCTGAAATTCGAGAATCTACTTCGATGGTTTAAGTGTTCAACTACTCGTGAAATAACATGTTGAGGGGATTCCTAGAAATTGAGATTAATGCATAGATTTGGGGACATTTTCGATCGATTTCTTCCCGACTTTAAGGTCAACTTTACCAGTAACAAGAGGTGACATTTCGGCATCGATGACGGCGATTTTAACATTCCAATTAACGTTTTCAATCAACGTTATAATTTAACATTTCAATCATACTGAGCTTATTTTCTGAGAAACACAACGTTCAAAAGGCCATGGGGGGGGGGGGGTGCATGAGTTTCACTGCTCTGTTATAGCGTCCAAGTACGTAATCAGACTAACTTTGTTTAACAACGGCGACGCTTAGGCCTTCGCAACCACAAGGCTGTAGTCATGTTCTACCCATCGATAAAATATATTTCACCTTTTCTTTGATTGAAGGCTCTGGAGGATTTTATTAAGGGAAGTTAAACCCCAAAAAACATTATGTTAACAATTTTCATATGCCAGTTATGGTCATTGACTATACTTGGTTGCAGAAACAATTCCCCCCCCCCCCCCTCCGGTTGCGAAATATATTTTTTCCCAAACGAGATTGGACAATTTCAGAAGAGGGTGCTCTCCCTACGTTATGCATTAATCAGGATGTCCAGGGCTTCAGCGATTAAGTTATGTAACAAGGAATAATGGTGTTTAAATCAACGCTGATTAGCAGCTGATTCGTGAACTAGTTGGAAGTAGTCCTGACTTCTAATCAGGTGATCCGAGTTCGAATCCCAGTGAGCGTTTTGCACTTCTTCTCAATTTAACTTTTACATAACTTTATTATGATAACTAAAGTTAGGAAGGAACATTTCACACAAGACGTAAAGCCGATCATTGGTTTGTATGGAGAACAAGGCATTAGATGTGCATGTAATGTACCGATCAGAAAATTGGAAACGGATGTCGTTTGGGGGAATAAAAAACGTCCACTGGTTAGTTTCCCTAGGCCACAGCGTTATGTGTAAACATAGCGCAGAGGTTGGCGACTATCGTCTTGGTGTGTGTCCTTCATGCGTCTTCTCAACTCTGGGCGTGTCAGGAGACGATGGTGTGGCTGGTACCCTGATGCTTGTTGAAGGATTTAAATCCTGGTACTCAACATGACTCACCCACCCACCTTCCCTGGATGATGCTGGATGTTGGTGACTTGGTTGATCCAGTACCGTAAGCACGTTATTTGCCCGAAGGCTGCATTGTAATCGTTGTGGGCACTGACTGGGCGTGTTTTTATTCCTACTGGTCCTTTATAAGGTAGATATGGTCGGCCAAATATAATTTAATTTGCTTGTTTTCTAAATGATCTGTCTCCTGTTTGCTAAACTTTTCCTCCATAGAAATTTGCTGAGTGTTTTTCTTTATTTTCTCTTTGCTTTAGAGATATCATTACTTTTGTGTTTCGCAAATTTTTTTTAGGTTGCTTCCTAACCTAGTATTCTTGCTTTAAAGGGAATATACAACATTTGCAAACATCAAAAAATAAAACTACCAAATCATTTTGAAATACCTTGCTGGACTGTTAGTGAATGACAGTGTAAAGCATCCTGTAAAATCATGCCACCTAGTATACTGTCATTTTCAAGAAAAGTGGTATTTTTGTATCAATTTCCAACGCTGGTCGGCCGACCAGCGTTGGAAAACACTGGCTTTTTTCAAATACTGGCCCCAATTGACCATCGCACTTGTTTGCAATCGATTACACACCTATGAACGTGTACAAGCCAGCTAGACTGGTTCCCTGACCTTACAATTCTCCAATGTATGTAAACTGCTCTGTTTCTTCTTATATGGAGTCAGGGAACCAGACTACAGGAAAATGATTGTTTTTCTTGGTTTTTAAAGCATTTTCGAACCCAAAACCTCAAAAAAGTCAATGTAACTATATTTGCTATATATTTCCGACCCCCCAATTCCATCCATTTCTGAAAATTACAGCAAAAGCAAATGATGTATATTGCCTTTAAACTTTAAATTGGTTTTAGTGTTTCTAATAATTAACATACTGTGTAATAATTGTATTTAATGGTTTTTGATTGACTTGCTGTTGGCTTCATTTTTACTGACTCATAGTTCCTGTAGTTTTTTTCTGTTTGGTTATGTCGGGCTCCTTAGACCGGACCAGGGCCGCTCGTCCTTAACAAAGTTGTAAACATTTACAATCCAACTACAAGACATTCAGGAAACACTCACTCAATCTAACTGCTTTGCATGTAACTTTTAATGTCATCTACTTGTAGAATGAAAGTACGTTACTGGTGAGATAATTCAAGAAAACCCAATAAGGCAAAATAATCTAGATCAAAATTTGATCTGAATAAGTTGTTTTAAACAAAAATTGTCTCAGTAAAACCCTTTAGATTGAACTGAGGTTATTGCTAAGACAATTAAAGATACAAATTCACAAAAACAAGACAAAAAATGTAATTCAATTTGTGTAATGGAGATTAAGAGTCTCCATCATAATAAGTATACATATATAAGAATATGCTTTCAAAATCACCACCACATATATGATGCTCTCCGCATATCGACATCTAAACTTAACTCCCGTTCGTGTCTGTTATTTGTTAATGTTTAAACTGGATCAAGTGAGGTTGATTGGAGCTGTTTGAACCCCTGAGAGAGAGATAGAGTGTTGCCAAAGACTTGCATTTTCCTTAATTATATGTGTTTTCATATGAAAAGCATAGATTGGTTGTTTCTTACAATGCTCGTTATCTTAGGCGGCAATTTATCGTGTGAGTACATATGTAATATTTTGTAATAACCCCAACCAGAGCAAAAAGAAAAAGAAAAACCCACCACCATTTGCATTTTAAAAAGCGAGCCAAAATAAACGGAAATATACAATACGCCAATATTCAAGAAAAAGTCAGTTCATTGTTATTGTTATTTTAATAACAAACCACCACCAATTTAATTTTAATGCGAGCGAATGCAAACATAACCAGTAGACCTTTTGGGTATCACGAAGTCAGTTTTGTCCGGATTCTCTTCTGGTGTTTTCTTTAGCAGTGTTTGCGTACTTCTCTATTGCTGCATCCCTCGTGGCAGCATTCCTCGTGAAGGCCTCGCTTTGAAATGCCACGATTGGCCAAGAAGCTGTTAGCCTCGTCTGATTCCACAAATTCTGGGTGGGACAAATAAAAGATAACACAAATAATTGTGTTTCCTTTATTTTTTGAACGAGAACATTTCAACTACAAACAATTGTTAACGTGTTTTCGCAGCAAAATCTTTGCGCCATTGACGCAGTTTGAAATGTCCATCAAGTGTCCTATATCAAAGGGCACAATTCACAACTAAACTTCCACACTGAGTTTTGATAAACAAATGCAAAGCATATTTATTGGTATCGAACCTGAAAGTGTAAAACTCATATCACAGGTTCAATAATTATTGGTATGGCCCAGAAAGTGCACCCACACACACCCACACCCGCTCACCCAGACCCACACACACACCCAAGACGTACGCTGGGAACAAAAATCAGAATTATTGCAAGACCATGGGGGAAGTGTTACATAACACATTCTTGTATGTCCCTCACTGTGTTATTATTGGCTTGGTAATACAGCCCGAGGAAAAGTAAGCACAGCGGACACATCAGTAATCACCGACACTACCCATCTACATACCAGTAAAAACTAGCAATCGGAGAAAACGGCTACTAAAGTTGAACGCCTTCTAAAACAATACTTTGCGTCAAAACGACAGAGTATTTTCAGTTGGGTTTCTCGTTGTAGACACTTGATGAATTGAATTTATTAAATCTGCTGTTTTTCACCCGTTTGTGTATTAAATAAACAAGAAATAAGAGAAAAAAGATGAGTGTTAGTTCGTGAAACCGAAAAGGCTGTAAAACTGTAAATTTTTGTTTTCACGAAGTAACACTCTTCAATGTATTCAACACGAGGAAAGTGCAACTTCAAGTCAGCGCGCGCGCGCTCATACAACTTATTACAAGAAGAGTGTTACTTCGTGAAAACGTTTTTGCTCACTTATGAGCAGAGTGCGCGCCATGCATTGCAATGGTAAATGGAACTTGAGTGTTACTTCGTGAAAACGAAAAATGTCACTTTTGCGCAAAAGTGGCCATGGATACTTAGCGTAATTATTAAAGTAAAGTTCTTGAAGCTTTGAAACTTCGTGCAATGGTAGGCCTTGATGAATAATGTTTAAAAATCCAAAAAGCTGAAAATCGAAAAAAATATGGTTTAACACGGTAGAGTGTTTCTTCGTGGTGTTGGTGTCGGTGAGGGTATGTATCGTGCTCATGTAACGTGCTCAACTGTCCGCCGAATCCATCCGGAGAAGCTAGCACGCCGGAGAAGTGAGACCGTGACACAGGGTTTGGGAATTGGAAATTCGCGTTGTTGAGTTACAAACGCTGGTTGATCGGGCAGACAACTATTTCACTGGACATTGTCCAGATAAGTTGTGAATAATTTTTATATCAGAACAGAAAAAGCACCAGGGCATTCAGCCTTCCCAGTAAAACCATTTCTTCTCATTTGAACATAAAATATCTCTTTTCAGTATTCATTAAAAATACTCGTACACCTTATTTCCGGTTAGAATGAGAGCTAAGTTACAATATGCAAAGTAAACATTGATATAGTTCAGAGACAATGCATATTCATCATGAAGTAAAAGGAACTTTTGAAAATAATGGGGGCCGCTCATAAGTCCGACGCCTCATAGCTCCGACGCCTCATAAGTCCGACGCCTCATAGCTCCGACACCTCATAGCTCCGACGCCTCATAGGTCCGCCACCTCATAGGTCCGACGCCTCGTACGCTTTGTTTTTCCAGTGTCGGACTTATGAGGCGTCGGACTTATGACGCGTCGGACCTATGAGGCGGAATAAATAAATGTTATGCCTCATAATTCCAACGCCTTATAAGCCCGAAATTTCAGATTTACGAGGCGTCGGACCTATGAGGCATCAGACTTATGATACCGCCCCAAAATAATTATGGGAAATGATAATGGATACCTAACAGTGGCGCACCCGGGGGGGCGCTCTAAAAAAAATGGGGGAAAAATCGTTAGCTCCGCCCCAAGCCAAATCCTGGGTGCGTCACTGCTATGTATGTATGTATGTATGTATAACACCTAGCTTCCGGTTTCATGACGTAACAGCAAATGGAAGCCCAATATCTTAATTGTACCGGATGACTTTATTTGTGCCACGGACATAGTCATTATACAGGCCAGCCAAATGTGGAAAAGTCCTCTAGATAACAATTTCACGGCATCCATGTTAGATAAATTTTTTAAACCATAACAAACAAGATGTGGGTGGATGCCATCGTTAATTTGGACCCTAAATATACCTAATTTACATAGATTGTTAATCCCTGCTGCGTAATATATTTATTCTCATAGTTGGGTATATTCTTTATTTTTTAATTTTTGAAAATTTTGTTCAGGTGATTCTACTTACAAATCCTTACTTCAATAACATTTTCTAAAACATATAAGTGACTGAATATTATTATGAGGACATAGAAACGATCGAAAATGGCTATACTCTTAAACCCCAAAGTTTCGCGCATTTACCTTGTTTCCAGATATCTTCAAGTAGTCTTGCTAACATCAGTATATGAGCTTCAAATTCACCAAGTTGCTTACTGGCACAGTTAACCCAATTAAAACCTTATGAACAGCACGCGAACAATGATAATGTTGTGAAATTTAGCCCTTAAAACAGAAACGGGGAAAACAGGGTGTCTGTTGATTGGCCTAATTAGTGAAGGGTTGCCTAACGTGGGGGACCTGAACAGGTTTAAGGAAATTCGCAAAAGTATTGGAAAGAAAATTAATCGAAATAAAACATACTGACATTGACATAATTACTGGAAGCATTTTTTTTTTGGGGGGGGTCCTTGAACTTATTCAAGTCTAGCTCGCACGTTAGGTGACCCTTCGCCTAATTTAAGCCCAGTTTATGGACAGCCAGCTCGTTTTCCCCGTTTTTGTTTGCCGAGCTAAATATTGCAATGTTATCATGGTGTGCCCTTAAGCAAGGCACTTTGTCACTCATTGCTTCTCTCCACCCAGGAGTAAATGGGTACCTGTGAGGGCAGAGATGGTTATTGTGATTAAATAAGCTTGCTTGCGCTTAACAGACAGCATCGAGCTGTATACTCCCCAGGGAGCTGAGATGGTATTTTGAATGTTGATCCAATGATCAGGGGTAATAATAATACTTTAAGCGCTGTGATTTAGTTTGCTAACAAGAGCGTTCTTGAATGCGGATTATTATTATTATTATTGTTCACATGATTTTCAATAAGGTTTTAATAGGCTAACTTTGCCAGTGAGCAACTTGGTGAATTTGATGCTCATCAATACTGCGGTTTGGCAAGACTACTTAATAATATCTGGAGACAAGAATGCGCGAAATTTGTGGGTATAATAGTAGCCATTTTGGACCGTTGCTATGTCCTCATAATTATTCAGTCACTTATATACTTGAGAAAATGTTATTTGAGTAAAAGTGTGTAAGTAGAATCGCTAAAATAAATTTTCAAAAAATTAGAAATAAAGAAAATACCCAAATATGGGAATGATATATTACGCGGCAGGGGTTAACAATATATGCAATTTAGGTATATTTAGGGTCCAAATTAACGATGGCATTCACCCATATCTTGTTTGCTATGGTTCAAAGAATATTGATCTAGCATGGATGCCAGCTATTACCCAAAAATGCCGGCCAAAGTGTAATATTTCTCTTTGGATGGTCCACTATACACGGATCAAATGATGGATTTGAACTTTAAAAAGGGCAATATTGTAACATTTTGGCGAACTTTTTTTTTCAATTCAGAAAAGTTCAAATGTTTTGCAGCTGGAGGGCAACTTTGGCTGATGACGCCACCATGCTGGTTTTGTGCTTGGCATCCATCAACACTTCCATATCTTATTGTCGGTTTTAAAATGGTTCTGTTTTCAAGTTATATTCAATTCAACTCATTGCATCATGCACTGCCGGTAACATCAGTAAAAAAAAAACTGCAGTATGGATCCTTCAACTTGATGAGTTTAATGACATGTTAAACGATAATAGTTTGTAAACAGGGCGTGTGCCAAACATATACTGTATACCTGCCCCTCGAAGTGCAGTGTCACTTCCTCAATCAATGAAACTATTGCAGACGGTGTCAAAAAACATATGACATGGAACAAATCCCACCAAATCAATGCACAATTAAGAAAATAACACCTCTCGCGCTGAACACATCTATTTTGGATTGGACAACAATATGGTAAATTATGTGTTAAGTCAGCTGTGTGGTTGCAAGGGGCGATTTCTAAAGGTGAATGAAACTACATGCACACAGACATGTTCGCACAGGCGGGCAAAATCTTTGAACAATAATTTTTCTCGTTTTGAACACCGTATCTTCTTGCAACTTTCCCTTATAATGATCCAAGTATGTGCTAAAAATCGTCTTGATAATGTTCATTACATTTCGTTGAAATTGGAATAATAGGTTGTAACACTGGTGTTTGCAAAATCTGTCAATCTTTTCAAGCCTCACGAATATTAGTATTGCTCCAATCCATTATGATGTGCAGTACAAAAAATAGCATTTAAGCCTTATTATTTGATAAATATCACCCTTTTGCCGTCTTCCATTGGTCGATACCGAGACCCACGCCAAGTCACGCCGAGTGACTCTAATGAATATGCTAATATGCACTTTGTCATTGTGTTGCCGGGTCAAAATCAGTCAACCATAGCTCCCTAGACGCTCAGGGTCTTTGCTGAAAACCACATGTTGTTTTGCAATTTGGTCGACAAAAACTCTCGTCGAAATGTTCCTCTGAGATAGTTCAAGAGGAACACTAGCGTTTGCAACAACAGCTTCAGCTGAAATAACAACTTGAGTAGTTTTCTAGAAATTGAGATAAATACATAGATTTATTTATTTATTTTTTTATTTGATTTTAAATCTTTAGACAGTTCATAAGTACAATCTAAAATGTAAGCAGGGGCTGTCACGGAATGAACAAGAGTATAAAAACTGTCATCAAATGATGTGCTCATCCATACCCCTGATTACAAATTAAGGTAAAATTACAAATGTTCAGATAGAAATCGATAATGATAACCG